CCCCTTAGTACTGGTGTTAGTATTGGTAGCAATGCTGTTTAGTATCCATACAGTATATTATATGCTACATAGTACACAGTGCTGAGAAGACCTGTAGTATATGTTATATGTATTTAGTATATATATGGTACATAGAGCAAGTCTGCATATATATAGGTATAGTCGCCACACCTAAGGTACATAAGCATCGACGTATCAGAGTACGTAGGAAACTGTGGTGCATTTGGGTAGGACACGAGAAATCCAGAGCATCTGATTGGTGTGGTTTGGGATCCTCAGAAATCCTGAATTTCCCTGGATAATAGAAAAAAAAGGGGTGGTTAGACCGACTGAAGAGGGTAATGCTGTCAGATTGCTGGAATGTTTTCGATTTATTTAGGAATTGCATGTGCATGACATGCGAGGATTTTCTTTGTTTCCAAGATCGCAGGACAGTACCTTGTATTTGACCTGTGACCTCAAAGATCGGAGTACGAGAGAGTGGGATAAATTTCTTTTCTGAAGGAACAGTCAATGCCAACGGAATTTTCTGTGAGATTTACTTGAAATCCTGTATTGGAGATATATATGTATACATTTTGTCGGGAATCTTATTTGCCTTGTATACACGCGAGGTAGACGATTTTTCGTTTAACTTATTTTCCATAATTCGTATGACCTACATCGAACGCGTATTCACACGGTAATCAAAGCAGAGACAAAATAAATGGAGAACCCTGAACGGATCTGGTTAATGCTAATGGCCGATAATGCGGGCATCTAATTTGCGGTCGGTGGATTATTTCAATTAGAGCAACTCGCCGTAACGGCGCGTGGTCGTCACCACACGCTCCTAACAGCTCCGATGCGTGCATTCGCGCCAAACGATACGCAGTGGATTCTATGACATTGATACGATATTAGAAATCGAATATGCGTTCATGAAAACCCTCAAAAATTAGTTATACGGTATTTTGGTCGATTTGAATTTCCAATATTTCCCCGCCGCTCTACGATTCGTGCGGACGTAGCCAGGCCAGTGCGCATGCGCGGCTGCTTGACTAACGGACGCTGGAATACTACGTGCTCGAGTGCGATGTGCCTACGAAAGGGCGGAAAATGTTTCGCAATCTACGTTACGTCCAGCAGAGAAGTTTACATACTAGCTTGTACATTGCTGGCGTACCCATATGTGCAGTGTGTAGTATGTGCTATCATCCGTACGTGGAACAGGAGTAATACGAGAGAACGAGTAGCAGCACGCGCCTACCTAACCTATTAAAGCCACTGCCACATACTAATTGGATACCTAGGAGAATATTGCCATAGCTGAGCTGTCTAGTGTTGTTTATAGCAGTGGCACGTGAACCTTATGGAAGCGTTCGACGAAGACAAGGACATGGTGAGTCTAAGAGGTTAGGAAAATCCCCATATACCTGGTGTCGTTAGAGTGAATTTTATTTTTAGAAAATTAAAATCTTGACATTTTTTAAAATATCTTTTATACGTTGCTCCCCCCGTTGCACTTTCTGTCTCTTCGCGTCTGCCACGTTACGCTACGTTGACGTAGCTTCCGACGAGGACAGATTTAATTGTCAGACAGTGCAGCCAACTGTCCTGCTAATTACCGTAAAAACAAGAAAATTCTGCCAGCTTCTCTTTTGGCCAGGTACGTATATTCTAACTATTTACATATGTATCTAGAGTGCATATATATATATATACACACACTCTGCGGTGCATTTTAAAGGAGCGTCACGCGGACCGGAAGGCGCCACTCGTAGTCAGGTTAGGTCAACTCGTGAATGTTGTTAGTGCCATTTCCTCGTGTAGGACGACGTCGCGACGCTCCCAGCGCCGTACTGGAACACGTACGCGCGTAATACTGGTATGAAGCTCTACCACGTGGAAGGGGGCTACAGAATAATTGTCTTCCTGAATACTTGACTCGGTTAAGATAGACTGGACTAGGTCGGCCATTCTCCTAGACTCTCCGACTTTCTCTTTATCTTCTCAGTTCCAAGTTCTTTATACTAATTTCATAGAATAACAGTCTGAGAATGGAGTTATTAATAATTTATATTCTTAAAATCTCTCTTCAGACTGCCGTCTCAATAAAAATCCCTGAGTTTATAAAGGGTCGGAGCTCTCGTGTCCAAGGAAAAATGTTGTCGTTTTGATAAATAAATGGAATCCGAGTGGTATGGTATTGGACGCGTATAATTATGGTAGCATGGCGATCTAGGGGTGGTATAGCTCGGCGGGTGGAAATGAAGTCGCGCAAGGGTTTTTTTTAAGGCTTTCAAATCCAAGCGGATTCCCACCCTGTACCTATTCCAGGGAGTTTTATAAATCCCAGTCGTGCCATCCTCTCCATCAGTTGGATTTCCTTTTCAGGATATTCCAACGGGTTTCCGGACGATCCTTTTTCAAGTGGAGGATGAGGACTCGATCTTGCAAGTGGAAAAACGGGAAATAATAAGGAAGCAAGGGGAGCGACAGAGAGAGAAGATAATTCTGCCAGGCAGGGACGACTGCAGGCTTTATAGTCACCACAGCCGAAAGTCTTGAGACGATACTTATCACCCAATCGAACGGGATTCTTTAGTTTGCAGGTGGATTTTATTCCCCTGACGTCACACAGTACAGTCCTTTAAGGACAATGGATCCTTTAAGGACCTGGGCGCATTATCCGCCAATAAGAATTTTCCCTGTTACCTCTCCAGGATTGAAATCGAAGTCGCTGACTGATGGTCGATTGGAGGTCAGTCTTAATGGAAACTGCTCTGAACTTTTTACATATATATTCACACAGAGTTTATCCACTTCGAACACATAGAAATAATCCTAGTCGATAAAGGGTGGTGAGAAAGAAGAAAAAAACAAGAAGTTAATGGCACTTGGGAAAATTGTTTTTCGCTCGCTAAGAATAAAAAAAGTGTGATGTGGGTTTATTGCTTTTTTTTTTTTGTATCCGTCTAAGACTTTTAATTACAATTCTTGATTCGTTATTATCTTGATGTCAATGTAAAAATTCTATAGTCGATGTTACCTTGATCTATTTTCGTTCCTAACGACTTCGTCAAATGACCAGACTCAAGTACGACTATTTAATTCCAGACAGTCTGGCTTTCGTAATTGTCGCAATTAACGACACGCCACATCTTCGACTTGGGTGCATCTGCGTATGGCAAGTAGTAACTACCTGTCGACGTAATATCCGGCTGATCCTTAGCACGTCGTAGAACTAATGAGCTGTTTACACTTGTTTTTTGAGGTATTTGTTCATTTTTTAAAAATAATTTTTTTTTTGTATTTTTATACTCAGATTTTTTGTTGTACTATGCTTTAGGTAGATCCCCAATGCTCACGAGCAACGACCTGCGCGACTCGCCGATCAGGTTTTTACTTTTTAGTCGCTTCATGCCGGTCGCCTTAAGACACGCTCAGAGTTGTACAAGTGGCGAGAGCCTGTAAAAACGTATCTGTCTATATCAGGTATGGTAAGTCATTACGTAAATTGTTTGCTGAGAAATAAAATTCGTACGTCACGGTGGAAAATAAGAATTTTCACGTGACAATTTTAAAATCATTTTTCCATCTTTCAGAATATATATTTTTTTTTTCACTCTAACTTCATGATGGATATTCATATTTTTGAAATGTCATTAACCACAGTTCTACGCTCAAAGATTCGAATCCACTCAGCTTACCCATTTTTGACTCGAACGTCCAATTGACGCAATCACTTCATCCACTGCATACAATAATCGCATCTGTCACTCGCGCAATTGCTAATCAGGCCTTAAGAAGAATGTCAAAGGTCAAAGGCGAATCCATTAATTCGTTTACATCAATTTGGCATACATACGTCGTCGCCCGTTTAAAATTCCCCTTGGTCCAAGGAACTTTCGACACCCGGTATACTATCATTACCACCGACACCTTGACTGCATCTGCACGTACTATATGTATATTTTTCCGTATTACCACGTAAAACGAATATTCCCTTAAGCCTCGTACTCGTGTAAGCGAAAGTTAAAGTTGAACGTAATTTACGTGGAGAAATGTCTCTCTAGAAATTTTTCATATTTCACGACTTTGAATTTTCCTCCTCCGGAAGGCAACTGCCAAGGGCCACTCAGGTCTAAGGCGAAAACTTTGAGTACTTCCGGTGCATTGAAAGCATCCAAGGTGTTTCCGTCATCTTGGGCTCGAAAACTTCCTTAAGGCATTCGAAAACTCCAGTCTGACTCGTCTTGACTTTATCTACTTCTGTTTACGTTGTCCCTACCAAAGTGGTTATATACCGTGATCATCAGACACCTAATATAGGTATGTACCCATTTACAAGTAAATCGGCCGGCGAACGATTATCGCCTTGATTACTTTATTCGATTTCGACTGAGGTAAACTCGTCCAGCCTTTCTGTACAGCTGCTACGGCTGGACGCTCCTGCGAGTCAGCTGATAATTTATCAATCCTGAACATTCAGACGTTTTGTATCTGCTGGGGCTAATCGCTGCTTTTACTTAATCCGTATAACTATACTTTGTTACCTTCAATTAAATACCCACTTTCCACCCCCCCTTTCTCTTGATATCGCTATCACGCGTTGGTCCCACGTTTACCACCTCCACTCCGCACACCATCCCCCGGCAATATTTCTTTGGGAATAAGGGTAAATCGGCAGGGTACCTAATACAGGGGAAAATTCTTCCAACCATTTCGGTCCTGTTATTTCACTGGGTAGAACTTTCTTATTTAATCTTATTTAAATGCCTGTCGGACGATTCCTTCCTCTAATTGGCCGTGTAAGATAAATCTTGAGGAATTATGAGACTTCTTTTTTTTTTTAATTGTCTATGGATTTAGTTGCCCTCAGGTTATGTCTTTTTATTTGTGTTTTTCTTGCTTTTCATCGAAAGGCACGTAAATTCGATTAGGTAAATTTGCGATTATAAAAAACTGTTTTTCGTACTTTCGATAAGCATTTGTGATAATAGCTTTGTTTTGCTTTGGATTTTCTTGCTTCTTGGTAAAGCGTCTTGCCAGAAGCGAATGTAACGCGATATTATGCCAATTAGTAGCTTTTCGATGGTTGTCAAATAATTTTTATTTCACCAACGTGATTTCACGAATACATTTTTTTTATAAGGCAAACGAATCAGCATTCGACATGAGTTTTGTGGTGAATCTCAATTTTTCGGCTGTTTTCGGGAATCTGCGATTTTACACAGAAGTCAGTACCGGAGACGAGTAGAATTGCGTAAAAAGTGTAGTAAGCCAATAGAAAGCTGCTTAGAACGAGGTTTTCGAATTTGCATTAGAGACTTGATTTTAATTGGGTTAGCGATACCAACCAAAGTCCATCAAGTATGTCAAAGTAAGCCAAAGTATATCAAGTTCAAAACATATGTTCTATATAAGAGAGAGTGAGTGAGAGATATATATAGACCCTCCAGCGCTCTCGACTGAATAAGCCGGTACAAGTCCTTCAAATGAAAATTAAAAGTATCACGTATCTTCTCTGATGCACGTAAATCACCCGTAAGTCCGTCTCTCTCGCACTCACGGGAGGTATAAAAAATTGAAATTTTCAAGCGAATTTATAAGCTACGTCGCAATAACGCTTCGAGACGAGCTGATCGAAGAAATTAAATATTGCATACAGATTTCATTATTTGTATTTCCTAATTCATATAAAAAAACTTCAATTTCCTTCGAGTCATCATAAAATCTCTGACTCGTATAAAAGTTTCCACGACACTCGTCCAATCCGACTGTTACGTTTCAACCGAATGGCCTCGTACATATGTATGTACATATATCTCCGCAAGATATACGCGTGTCTGAATCTTCTTATTTACCTGACGACGGTCGCCGGCGAGCCGATATTAAAACGCGGGAGCATGATTCTAATAGAAAGCATTAGGGGGCACGACTGCATGCAAACATCCCCTAACGTATTCATATTGGACCACCATCTTTAGCATCCCTTACTACCCCTACCGCCACCCTTACCATTCTCCCAGAACCTCAAAGCGAGAGGACTTTTCGTTCCCTCACGATATTTGAATTTTAATGTGAGGAACCACTCTCTCCCCCAAACTACCCTTAACCCGCAGCTTCCACCTTGCATCCCCCCGGTTGATCCATTACTTAAAGATTTTTTTTTCCAGCACCGATATTACGACCACTGATTTTACCCAGTACGCAGAAAAAGTATCGACCTTATCGTTGGTATATCGGTAGGCAATTGTTTAATTTTTTTTTTTTTTTTTTCGAACAGTCGGAAAGAGTATACTTATCAAGGATGTAATTTATTTTTCCGCAGGATCGTCTGTGGCAAGAGGTCGAAAGGTTGAAAGCTATAGAGAGAGAGAGGGAGAAAGATGAAATGAAAGAGGGATGTAAATTGTAAGGGAATCAGGGGATACGTATATAGGGGATGATTCGCCGTCGATTCCTTTCCTGAGGGAAATGTCCGAGTGGGGGTTTGCAAGTGAAAAATAAAAGTAAGGTAATTTCGTAGCCGACGTTTTCCTTCGGCAGGTACGAGAGTGATATCGCGAGCTCTTGGTCTACCTCGAGAGCAGCCTGAAGTGGGGTGCAGGAGATAAGAGGGAGACCAGGTAGAGGCAGCAACGGTATAAAGAAAGGAGAAGGGACGACTCGGAATAAAGTTCAGAGAGGCTGTTATCGCGCGAGGCTCATTGATATTTTCTTCAAAGTCCCAAGAACCAACCCTCCGGAGAATTAAGCCACCAAAAGGGTTGGAGAATTTGCGGTATCCTTTACAACGAGCAGTGCCCCGGGAGGGACAAGGAACGGGATTCTCGTTACGCCCCTGTGTATCTTCTACGTGAGATTCAGACCCCCCCCCCCCCC